GTAGGTCAAAACTCAAATTCAAGCTAGACTAGTCGTGTTTAGGCTTATTTCGAAGCTCGCAACGCGCCAAACTCAAATATTTAGCTCAAAATCTCTAAAAACCTCGACATTCCAAGTTTTCAGGTGGAACAACCGCCCATACTACTGGGGCTCTAACTACTATCGACAGAGTCCGGGACACACAAACATGTGTCGAATGCCAATTGAGTCAGGTGATCCACAATTTGGAAATATTTATTCCAGGTGACCTTTTCGAAAAATTCAAAAAATTGAAGAAAAATGAGCAATTTTCGGCTAAAATTGGGCGAAAAACCAATTTTCAGAAAGCCCTAAAATTTTTTCAGTCAGTTTTTATAGATTTTCGCTAATATTTTCGAATTTAGCTTTTCTTGAGCTTTGAAATAAGCCTAAACACGGCTATTCTAGCTTTATTTTGAGTTTTGACCTACCAGCCGCTACGCGACCGCAACGCATAGGTCAAAACTCAAAATTGAGCTAGACTAGCCGTGTTTGGGCTTACTTTGAAGCTCCAAACAAAATTCGTATTTTTCTGTGGAAATCGATAGGATGCGACTGAAATTAGAAAAGTTATGGCGTTTTTCCAATTTTTACTTCAAAAATTAAAAGCTACCGTAACTTTCCTAATTTTAATGCTAATCCGATGAAAGTTGAAATTTTTGAAATTTTTGTGGAAAGAGCTTCAAAATGAGCCTAAACACGGGCAGTCTAGCTATCATTTGAATGTTGACCTACCAGCCGCGACTCGCCGCAACGTGTAGGTCAAAACTCAAAGTTGAGCTAAGCTAGCCGTGTTTGGGCTTATTTTGAAGCTCTCAACGTGCCAAATTCAAATTTTCTATTCCAGGACAACTCCCGGCCTCGCGAAATCACATGGGGTTGTGGATACTATGAATATTGCTGTGGATACGAGTGTTGTCGAGGCGGCGGAAGCATGGGATCCGATCGAATCGGTGGTCGAGGATCCTCAATTGGGTACGCCTTAATTATTGTATTTTTGGCGAGACGTCTGATGTTCTAGAACTCCTATTTTTCGAATGTTTCTGTTGTGATTGCCTGAACATTTTCTAGCTTTTTGTGTTTTTTGAAATTTTCCAAAAATCTAAAATTTATTTTTGAATTTTGACTCCAAAATTGAATTCAGCTCGTCAAGAGCTTCAAAATGAACCCAAACACGACCAGGTTTGCTTCAATTTTAATTTTTACCTACGCGATGCGGCCGCGTCGCGGCTGGTAGGTCAAAACTCAAACTTGAGCTAGACTAGTCGTGTTTGGGCTTATTTTAAAGCTCTTAACGCAAGAAATTCAAAAATCCACGTTTCATTGCTCATTTCTGCTAATTTAGAGACAAAATCGGCATACAGTAATCCTCTCACCGCTCAATTCAGCTCCAAAACGCACCAAAAACACACTTTTCCGGGTCATTTTTCAATTTTTTCCTCATTTTTATTGTTAAATTCTCGAAATTTATAATAAAAATGAACTTTTTGTGAAGATCGTTGTTCTGTTAGCTTGTTTGCATGAAAAAATTTCAGAAATTTGAATTTCAAATTTGGTGCCAAACTCAAAAAATTCTGAAATTCCAGACTTTTGGTCCTCATCGCCATTGGATTCTGCTGTGGATTCCCATTGCTAACCCGTTGGATTCGAAGGAGACAATTTGGAGCGGCCGCTTGAATTCTTTTAAAAATGATTTTAGGATTTTTCTCGAATATTATTGATTTTGAAGCTCGGCCCATTTTCAATTTGAACTTGGGGCGTTTAGAGCTTCAAAATGAGCCTAAACTCGGCTAGTTTAGCTTGAATTTAAATTTTGACCTACGCCAAATTCAAATTTAACGTTTTTAAAATTTTTTAAAGTGGGCGGAGCTTAAAAATCTCCAAAATTAAATTTCCATTTTACTACTACGCATCTCACCTCCTTTTCCAGACCAAAAATGTCCCGATCCACGTGTATTTTTCAAAATTTTGTGCTATTTTACTCAAAATAAAATTATTTATTGTCCTAATTTTCCCGTTTCAATATTTTGTGGGTTACTGTAGTTTCAAAAGTCCGCAAACACCGAATTCTCTTAAAATTGAGCTAGGAGATCTAACAAAATGGGTTCCAGACTAGAATTTTATGATAAATTCAGATTTTAAATTGAAAATTAATGTTGGTAAATGATTTGGCTAGAAAATTGGAATTGTCGTAAATTCATGGGTATGCGCCTTTAAATGTAGCCTGAAGAAAGACGTCTAGAGATAGGCTTTTTAAAGGCGCATATCTCAAAAACTAAAAACGTTTTTAAAAAGTTGTAAACTGAAAAAATGTATAAAATTGAATTTCAAACATTTTTGAAGTTGACAATTTTTTGCTAGCTACGGTAATTTTTGAGATATGCGCCTTCAAAAATTGCTTGCGGATAGGCGTCCCCGACTTGGTACAACTCTACTTTTGGGGTTACTGTAGTTTTGGAATGTCCGCAATCACCGAATTTAAAAGAACATGTTGCGGTAAAAAGGTTTATTATCAAAAAAAAATAGATTGATCTCCCGGCGATTCGCTTGAGCGGCATCCCAAACAGTTTGCTCTCCGGGTTTCCTGGAACTCTGCCTGACGTGGCAGTGAGATATCTTCTGAACTTGGCGTGGAGAGTTTGTTCTTGTTGCTCTGAAATGTTCAGATGATTGAACTTCACTACCGCAGCATCGAAGTTCTCCAAGAATTCCACCAATCAAGCAGAATACATAGTGTCCCAATCTGGTTGCTGTAGACTAATGCGTGGAAGAACGTTCTTATAAAAGCTGAAAGGTCGGAAAATTACAAAACAAATTTAAAAAAAAACTACTGTACCTACTTAGTGAAAATGCTCTCAATTGCTTCCATTACGTTTGGTTCATCGAGCCGAAGATGAAGATCCACCCCGTTTCTGTAGAGAGTCTGCACTTTATAACGTACAACTCCGTCTGGAAGATCGTCTGGTAGCCATAGTTATCACTTTTTTCTGAAAATTTCAGAGTAAAAAGAACAAAAGTAGAGTTACATTTTTGTAGTTGACAATTTTTTGGTGCCTACTGTAGTTTTTAAGATATGCGCTTTTAAAGTTAGCGGGCGCTTAGAGAGGAGCTACCGAAAGGGAGAGGGGTGCGCTATCTTCAAAAGCATATATCTCAAAAACTACAAAAGCTACTTAACATTAGTTAATTACAAAAATGTGTCAGTTTCAATGATAAATATTTTTCAGATTCAATGATAAATATTTTTGCAGTTTACAACTTTTTAAAAACTGCCTTGGTTTTTGAGTTATGCGCCTTTAAAGATGGCACCCCTTAGGAGGCTCCTCCTGAAGCTGTAAGAGCGCACCTTCTTTAAAGGCACTTATCTCAAAAAACTACGGTAGCTACTCAATAATGCTCCACTATGAAAATGTGTAAAAACCAATTTTGAATATTTTTGTAGTTTACAAGTTTTTGATAGCTCTCTTGGTTTTGGAGATATGCGTTTTTAAAGTTGGCGCGCGCTTACAGAGGAGCCACCGAGAGGCAGAGAGGGCTCACCATTTTTAAAGGTGCATACCTCAAAAACTACGGTTACTACCGAAAAATGGTCAACTAATAAAATATAGCTATTTTCTTGTTTAGTGTTATCTGAAATTTTCAAACAAATTCAAAAACTATTACTATACTAACATGTTCAGGAAAATCAATTAAACATCCTAATACTCATTCCTTAATTGGTTTTTGGTAGTTTTTAGGAATAAATAGGGGTAGAAATAGTAGATATATTCAGAAAAATAAGGGGAAAACTCTCCAAAATCTATTCATTTTTAGGATTTTTGGAGAATTCCCGAGGATATTTAGACGTCCATTCAGTCAAGACGTCAGAGGGGAGGAATGAAGAGATGTAGGTATCGGGTGGGACCCTCCGGAACCAATAGATCTCTAAAATCAATAGGCTACCTAGTTTTGCAGTCTGTAGGTCACAGTGACGTAGCGTGCTACATTCCCATGTACATCAAGAATAGTGTGTGATGACCACTAAAGTAACTATTGGAAATAACCTATTGATTTTAGGCAGCGTGGCCATTTGAGAGACGCAGAGAAATGTCAGCAGGTGTCATTTATGGATGTGAGATAGTACAACTAATAAGGAGTGTCCTCCAATGCCTGCTAGACACCCGTGATCCCTCATTTCCCTCCTCCGACGACTTTCTGAATAGACGTCTCCCCGGGAACTCTCCAAAAATCCCAAAAATGAATGGATTTTGGAGAGTTTTCCCATTATTTTTCTGAATGTACCTAATATTTCTACTCTTATTTATTCCTAAAAAATTCCAAAAAAACCTAGGAATAAATGGGTTTTCATGGCAGTTTTCTATTTTTATTGATTTTCCTGAAAAGGTTAGTTTTTTTTGTATTGGAAATTTTCAAATTATACTAAAAAAATACAAGAGCTTCATTTTTCTAGTTGACAATTTTTTGATAGCTACCGTAGTTTTTGAGATATGCGCCTTTAAAGATGACGCGCGCTAACAGCTTGAGGAGGAACCTCCTAGGGGGACCTCCATCTTTCAAGGCGCATAACTCAAAAACCAGTAAAGTTAGAAAAAAGTTGTCAACTAGAAAAATGTGTGAAATAACATTTTTAGTCCAGAAATTAACAAGAATTTATATGTACCAGCTGAATTTTTTAATTTTTTTAAAAGTTAAAACTCGTGTTTGAAGAATCTAGTTTCTTTTCTCAATTTATCGAGGAATTGTTAATTTTCAAACTTTTCAATTTTCAGACACTATGTCGCCACCCACCAAGACCAAGGCATATGAAGAACAGCAACTTCGGACTCCCATGAACAACCTGCAGAACCAAGCACACGATCATCCAACCAACCTGTCGAAGCTCTTCTTCTACCACCACCTTCAGCCGTGTCGGAAGTAATCGTCAAAAAAGTCATCACGGTACTTCTCCAACGCCTGGAAAGTGCAAAAAATGGCCGATGAACTGCTGAAAGACTCACAGCAAGCCACTACCAAGGGATTGCAGAACCTTTGGTATATTACGGTTGACAAAAAGGTAATTCTACAATTTTATTAACTAAGAATACGTACAAAAAACTCCAAAACAGTAGAATTTTTTATTGGTTTTTAGGAAATTAACAATATGTTTGCATTATTTCCAGTGAAATCAAAGTTTTCAAATTTCAGTTCTATTCCGACGTCTGCTGCATTTTAAGCTCAATTCCGCACGACTTCTAGACCCCTGTCGATTCCAGAAATGATTTCAATTGCCAAAGAATTCGCACCGGATAGTTACAATGGAGGATACAAGTTTTTCATTCTCATAATAAATAAATGAAGTTGCGTCTCTTTTTTTGATTGTTTGTCACTTTGTCCACACATTTTGAAAAGCTTAAAAGCTAGCCCCTAAAAGTTGTCAACTAGAAAAATGTGTAAAATTTTATGCTGAGTAATTTTACAGTTTACAACATTTTGGTAGCTTTTTTAGTGTTTGAGATATGCGCCTTTAAAGATGCCCTCCCCCTTCGACAGGTCCTCCTCAAGCTGCTAGCGTGCGCCATCTTTAAAGGGACATATCTCAAAAACTAGAAAAGTTAGAAAAAAGTTGTTCATTAATAAAATGTAGCTGATTCCATGGTAAGTATTTTATCAGTTAACACTTTTTTGATATCTTTCACAGGGAATTAGATATATGGACTTCAAATGACAGGTTGGATGCGACTTTGATAGAATCTGAAAGGTTTTGTTCAAAATTCAAAGGCTGGGAATGCTATGAAATAGGTTTTATTGAATTTCGATAAAAAATATGAAGTAAAAAATCGAGAAAAAAATCTAGATTCTGAGAAATCCGAATGCTGAAAATCCATGTGGGTTGTTAACAATTTGCCGAGATCTTAGAATGGTCCACAAACGACGTCTGAAAAAGTATAATTTGAGATGAAATAATAGGATTTAATCGATTTACCTCTTTCTGCATTGATTCTAAATTCCATTTTTCTGGCCTTGTCAAGATCGAAAATTCACCAATTTTTGTGCTCTGGCTCTTGTCTCCAATTAGTATACCTTAGAGAATGCAACCATATGATCCTTCACGTCCGTAGAAACAATAACCAGCTGTCTCGAAGCACGAAAATATTGTATAGCGGGGGTATTGTCCTCTAGTGCTTTTGATGCTCACTACTCCACCTTGCCGTACATAAACTTTGGATTTCCCAGACTTCTACCTGCAATTTTTACTGATTAACATTGATTAAAAAAAAAGATAATTCAACTCACTGCATAGATCACGTTGCAGTTCAACGAACAGTCTTTTGGGTAGACGTAGTAAATAGCGTCGGAATCACAGGTTTTCTGAAAAAATAACGATTTTTAAAGGCGCATAGCTTGAGCTCACCGAAGCGTCATAAATGGGATCATTGTTTGGGGCAGAAGTTGGACTTCACATTGTCGGACCTGTAGATTTGGAAATCCAGAAAAATTACACAAGTCCAGAATGGTTGAGAACAGTGATGCTGAGCTGGATGGGATTTGCTGATTCCGAAATACAGACTTCCAAAATGTTCTGAAGCAGTCCAGAGTGGTGGAGAACATTTGAAATTTGGTTTTTAGACTCTTAAATTTTTTTTTACTTATTTTTCTAGTTGACAACTTTTTCCTAACTTTATTAGTTCTTGAGATATGCGCCTTTAAAGATGGTGCCTCCGTAGGAGGCCCCTCCTCAAGCTGTAGGCGTGCGCCATCTTTAAAGGCGCGTATCTCAAAAACTACAGTAGCTACCAAAAGATTGTCAACTACAAAATTGTCTAAAATTCAATTTTAAACAATTTTGCAATTTATAACTTTTGTATAGCTTCTTTGGTTTTTGAGTTATGCGCCTTTAAAGATGGTGCCCCCGTAGGAGGCCCCTCCTCAAGCTGTAGGCGCGCGCCATCATTAAAGGCGCGTATCTCAAAAACTACAGTAGCTACCAAAAGATTGTCAACTACAAAATTGTTTAAAATTCAATTTTAAACAATTTTGCAATTTATAACCTTTGTATAGCTTCTTTGGTTTTTGAGTTATGCGCCTTTAAAGATGGTGCGCCATAGGAGGCTCCTTCTCAAGTTGCGCTATCTTTAAAAGCACATATCTCGAAAACTACTGTAGCTATTGAAAAAGCGTCAATTACAAAATTAAAGCTCTTTTCTTTTTTAGTTTAGTCTGAAAATTTGAGACAACTTCAATAACTAACCTTCTCAGAAAAATCAAAGTAAACTTCCAAAAACCCAAAGGGGGTTTTTTTAGTAAGTTCCTAGGGAATAAATAGGGGGTTATGTAGGTATAAGGGGGGTTATATAAGTATTAATCTTCAAAAAAATAAGGGAAAACGCCTCCAAAATCCATTCATTTTTAGGATTTTTGGAGAATTTCCTGGGAAATTGAGACGTCCATTCAGTCAGGTCGTCGTAGGGGAGAAATGAGGGGTCTTGGCTGGTGTAGGAGCGCCGGAACGAAGCTCCGCCCAATTTTCTTAGGGAAGCTTCTCGAATTATAGTTGCATGTGTTCTATCTTTTCAGATATTCATTGCTCTATTTGCCCGCTTTTTTGGCTCTTTTTAGAAATTTTATTGCTTCTGAACACGCAATCGCTTCTTCTTCTTCTTCTCCTTCTGACATCTCTCCGAATAGACCCCTCGTTACAAATGTATGGGGTTCTACTGGAACCTCTAAAGCTTCTTCTTCTTCCTTTTGTTACACTCTACGACCTGAGAGAGCATATAAAAGGAGAGAGGGAAAAGGAGCAGATGTCGGTCAGCTTTGAGCTTAACTATCTCGGTTCCTGTGAAAGATATCAAAAAGTGGTCAACTAATAAATTCTTTATCATAATATCAGCAACATTTTATCAGTTGACTGTTTTTTGATATCTTTCACAGGAATTGAGATAATTGAGCTCAAAAGACTTTAAAGATGTCGCACGCTTTCGGCTTGAGGATAAGCCAATGAGCAATGGGGAGAGAAGGCGCACCATCTTTAAAGGCGCATATCTCAAAAACTAAATGAGATTTAAAAAGTTGTCAATTCTGAAAAAGTGTAGAA